GAAAAAAAAAAAAAAAAAAAAAGGAAAGGAAAAAACATTATATAAAAAGAACCAAATATAAATTATGAAGTTGCAAACACTGAAGTGAAAAATTGACAGGTGATCAACAGTAGGTTGGAACAGGCAGAAGAAAAGAATCAGCAAACAAATATACGTAAGTCACTTGGATTATCCGTTCTGAGGTACAGAAAGAAAAAAAGGATGAAGAAAAATGAGCAGAGCTTGAGACCTGTGGTACCCTGTAAAGCATGACAATTTATGTATAATTGGTTTCCTAGGAGGGGAGGAAAGAAAGAGGCAGAAAAGACAATGGAAAAAATAATGGACAGAGACTTTAATGAAAAGCATTGATGTATACATCCAAGTTGCTCAGTGAGTCCAAAATCGGAAAACACAAATCCATGACTGGACACACAGCCACATTGTCCAGACACAAAGACAGAATCCTGAAAATAAGAAGTGACTCCTGCACAAGGGAGCCTCATCGAAAGCCATGGAGGCTAGAAATTGCAGGGATGATATATTTCAGAGTTGAAAATAAATAAGCATCAAACATTTATTCAATATCCAGCAAAACTATCCTTCAAAAATGAAGATAAAATTAAGCATTCACAGATAAACAAAAGTAGAATTCATCAGTGGCAAGTGTGTCTTACAAGAAATAATAAACAGAATCCAGACTGAAATGAAAGGGTAATAGTAGCTCAAATCTACATGAAGAAATAGACACTAAAACAGTTTACTTTGTAGGCAAGTATATGACAGCATGTTTGTTCTTAAGTCTTTTCCTACTAAAAGTAACTGTACAAAATAATTACAAATCTGTCATGAGGGGCACAAAATAAAAAAATGTGTATGAGAACAGTACAAAGAGGTGGGAAAAATTTGCATAGGAACAAAACTTTTTGAAATTCAGTGATTTGAATCAAAACAGTATAAATTAAGATGTTAATTATAATCACTAGAGAAACCACTAAGAAATATCTTTAAAATATATATAGTTAAAAAAAAAAATATATATATATATAGTAAAAGCTACACAAGGGGAATTAAACTGGTACAGTAGAAAAATACACAAAAGAAGGTTTGGAAAGAATGTAAGAATAGGACGAAAAGACAAAAGATATAGAAAATAAAATGGCAGACTACACCCCACTGTATCTATAATTATATTAAATGTAAATGGATTTAACACTCCAATTAAAAGGCAGAGGTAGGAAAATGGATAAATATCATGGTCCAGATATCTATAGGAGACACACCATTTTTTTTTTTTCAGTATGGGAAATGGATCCAGGGCCTTTACACTGAGCTGCATCCCCAGCCCATTTTTGTTTTTTGTTTGGGATAGGATGCTACTAAATTGCCCAGGCTAGGCAAAGTTGTGATCTTGACTCAGCCTCCCAGAGCTGGGATTACAGGCATGCTATCATCTGCCCAGCTAGCAAACACATTTTAGATTTAATGACAAAAATATGTTTATAGTAATAGGTGAAAAAAAAGATATACCAAACAAAAATATACCTGGAGTCAATAACACAAAATAGTCTATCTTAAGATAAAAATTGTTGGTGGGGGATTTAGCTCAGTGGTTCTGCTGCCTGCCTTGCAAGGGCAAGGACCTGAGTTCGATCTCGGGTACCAAAAAAAAAAAAAAGATAAAAATTGTAACTAGAGACAAAAATTACATAACTAAAGGATTGGCTATCAAGAAGACATAATGATGCACATATATATACCTAATAATGGAACCCCAAAATGCATGAAGCAAAAAACTGATGATTGGAGGGAGAATAGACAATCCAACAATAATCATTCTTCACCTCAATGTCTCACTTGTGATAATGGATAGAATGAGACAGAAGGTCAGGAAATAAAGAGAAGACATAAATAATAGTTTAAGCCACGTAGACCTAGCAAACAACTGTAGAACACTCCACCCAACAACAAACATTGCACACCTACAGAAATCGGGACTATGCTATGCAGTACTGGCTGGCATAAGGATGGATGGACATAGAGATAAACAGAATTAAGATTACACAGGTCAGTCATTACATTTATGGTCAATTTATTTTTGACAAGGGTTCCAGGACAACTGAATGAGGGAATGTGTAGCCTTTTAAATAGATAATGCTAGTGTGATAGTCACACGCAACAAAATGAAATTGGACTCCTACTTCATACCATATGCCAACATTATCTTGAATGGATAATAGACTGAAAATATAAAAACTAAATAACAAGGCTCTTAGAAGAAAATGCTGGAATGTACATTTCCTTAGAAGGAACTGTAGCTCATGACATTGGACTAACAGGTAATTTCTTAGTTTTGACACCAAAAGCACAAGCAACCAAAAAAATAAATAAATTTTACTTCATCAAAATTTTAAAATTTTGTGTCAAAACCTCAGATGCTGTGGTGGGAGCATGTGAATTATATAATGCTGGCTCCACTGCTGTAGAAAACAGCCTAGCAATTCTTCAAATGGTTAAACTGAGACCATATAAGCAGCAGTTCCACACCTAAGTACCTAAGAGAATCAAAAACATTCAAAAACCTGTACATGAATTTTCTTAACAACCAGAAAGTAGAAGCTACTCTAATGCCCATCAGTGGATGATGACTGGATGAAATGTGGAATATTATCCACACACTACACGTATGCTACACACGACACATGCTACAACATGGGTGATTTTTGAAAGCACTTTGGCATGAGGGTAATGAAAAGAGCCAGGTAAGCTGTGTTTTGAAATACTATCCAGTCTTGCATATCCAGAAAAGCACCTGGTAGGTAGATCGTCCCAAAAGGGAAAATCTGCCCCCTTTTATGTATTATCTTTGTAGGAATTCTCTATGTAGTATCTAACTGTTCATGTAGTTTTTAACTTAAAGAGCTTTTTTCTTTCTTTTCTCCCCCCACCCCAATCCCCAGTACTGGGAATCAATCCCAGGTAGACTCTCCCACTGGGCTAAATCCCCAACCCTTTTTATTTTTTATTATGACATAGTAGTTCCCTAAATTGTCTAGGCTGACCATAAACTTACAATTCTGCTGGCTCCCTAGTAGTTAGTTAAGAGCCTTTTTCTGATTAGAGAAACAATTTTGCAACCTACATGAAGAAAAAGCTTAAAATTCCACTAATCTGTCTATTTTTTATAATTGTCTATCTTTCCACTTTTAAAAATGCATGCATGTGAGTTTACTTAAATGTCATTTTATATGCACAGGTTTTTTGTTTATTCTTTTGTAGTACTGGGAATTGGACCCAGGGAGCACTGAGCTACAGCCCTATTCCTTCGTATTTTGAGACAGTGTGTCACTAAGTTGCCCAGGCTGGGCATGAACGTGAGGTCCTCTCCTTCAGCCTCCCAAAGCACTGGGATCACAGGCCTGTGTCACACATCCAGCCCAAGCACAGTTCATAACCTGCTTTCTTTACCTAGTATATCCTGAAAATCCATATCAAGTAACTGTATGGTATTGCATTTCCAAAACTATTTATTTAATATATCTTCTATTTATAGTTAAAATTTTTTAAATTAAAAAATTTAAATTTCTATTTGAAAATACCAATTTCTTCCAGTTTCTTCTGTGTAGTCCCAGTTTATGTAAGAAAGCAGATGGGAGATTAATTCTTTTATAAGCAAGTGTCAGATTGCTACTACTGCTATAAACACACATTACCAATTTAGCTCTTTTCAACCAGAGTAAACTTGGAAAACTTTATGCTTTTATTTAATGTCAAATTCATTTGAGACTAGAGCCTTAAAATCTGATTTAGCTCAAAATGTACTTTTTTATTTGTGCTATTGCCCTGAACAGTTTTCAATAAGAACTCCCCAAAATCATTTCCATTCAGCAGATTGTTTCAGGACAACAACAAAATCAACTGGAGCTTGATCCATTCAAGTTTTTGTTTAACGTTAAATTCATAGCATTGGTTTACATCAGATTCATGGTCACAACATTAATAGTTTGCTTGTTAATCTGGGATTGCTGCAGAAGTGAGATGTGAGATCTCATTTTAGTATAATAGGAAGGATGGCAGCTGGGGGAGAGCCCACCACACCCTTCGGGAGTTTTCATGGCTGAGACACTGCAAATTTAGCAAGTACAGTGATTAGCTTAAGTGGAGAAGAAAGGGGTAGAGTCAAATGGGTGATCTTAATACCACCACTTCAGGGAGAAGGTATTTAAGAAGAAATGAGCACCATTTTATCAGTACCTATGTTTTCTTCCATCTCTTTTGCTTTAACAATATGCCCCTACTTAGTGGAAGAAAATCCAAGTGTAAGGAAAGACATGTTGTATATCGGTACCCTTGACTCAACTTTCTTTTCTGTGCCTCCTCCAGCCGCAGTCCTACAACTCAAAGTGCCTCGATGTTGCTGTTACCCATCACTTACCAGCCAACAGCTACGAGGCCTGGATTCTGCCTCGTGGTGATTGGTCTTCTAAGAAGGATTTCAGTTTGGTGTTTAGAAAACAGAGACTGCAATGAGCTGGTCTCTGTTAACCTCGTAGGAAGCTAAGCTAAATGTGTACTTGAAGATGAAGGTAAGCCCTGAGATGTTGCAGGTCACTAAAACAAAGCCTAACAGAAAGAGATACTGTATAGTTTCAGAAGGGATGGCGCATGACATTTTACCAAAACATCCCTGGATTTGCAGTGTTTGGCAGCACACGAGACCTGGAGAAATACCGAAAGTCTTTCTTTAGGTAACCATGGAAATGTGACATTAAAGAACAGAATTATCTGATACTGCACGTATCAAAAGAAAGCAAGAAATAACTTGAGTTTTGCCTGTGCCTGTGGCCACCTCCAGGAGTTGTCTTCACATGCCACCTTCCTTTGGGACAGTCTTGCCCAGTTCCGTATCTCTGCACAGATCTCACTGATGTATCAGAGTTGGCACTCATCTCAGAGCGGTGGAAAATTCCTCAGGTAGGACTCATCATGCCCTGCCCTACCTCCCCCTCGGGTTTCTCACAGGATCCCTGTAGGCCTCTGCCAAACCTGCAGCGAGCTCCCTCTCCCGAGTTAGATGATCCCACTGTTTCTACATCGATAGTTTGGTGATCTTAAAACCAGGAGTTGTGGTAGCCATGATGTGCTCATTGCATCTCTGCAGTACTCATCTAAGATAATCGTGATTCTCCTTGTACAAAGAACCTCCCAGAAAACGCGAGGGTTTCATTCGGGCCACTTGTGTGCCCTCATAGCTAGAGCAGGTATCGGAAAGCATGCCATCTGGTATCTCCCTTAAAATCGTCACCAAGGCTGGTGACACAATGCATGCTTCGGTGGTTTAATTAAATGGCTGCTAGCTTTGTTGACATTCAGCTTTCTCATGACAGAACTTTTGGTGTTTCTTGTACTATCCAAAGTAACATACAAAGCATTTCCCACTAAGTGGTATCATGGTTCTGAATAAAAGAAAAACTCCCAAGTGGAACTGAAGGTGAGGAAGGGAGCCCACCCTAACCAACAAAGGCAGAGCGAATTAAACTACTCAGATCCTAACACTTTTGTAAATTCTTTTCTAAAAGCTCTCCTCCTGATCCCACCTCACCTTGTACAGAAGGAGGAGGAATTCAAAGTCTAAATAATGAATGACTAGAATAAATACATAAAATAGTGGTGACGTGTGTAAAAGCAACCAGTCAGACTCTCAGACTTGTGAAGCGATTCTTCGGCTGACTTTGGCCTACATAGAGGCTTAAGAACATTCAGGCATGTATCCGTTACACAAAATAATCACTTCATTTCTAAAAATACTCTCCTGCTACTAATTCAATTAAAAAATGCAGCAGGAAAACTTAATTAAGCTTTCTAGGTTGTTAAAACTCTGCTACCAGAAAAAAAATATATATACTATTCTTAGAGTCCCACAGTCAAATGGCAGGCGACGACTGATCTATTATCAGTCTAGAAATGTTAGCCCCGAGCTCCTTGCGGGAGATTTTAAGCAGAGTGAACAGAAGACCAGGCAGCTGAGGAGGATTTGGTTGTAGCCTTCATGTCAGCCTTGAGGAGAGGGGAATTGACAAGAGGCCAAATTCCTTCAGGAAATTTGGGACTAGTTGAAACCATCCTGCTCCACCTTGCTTTGATGATGGTGATTGATGAGATAAGTCCTAACTCTCCAGCACCTGGTGTTAACAAGGCAGACTTCACAGCATTCAAAACAACAGAGAAGAAACTCAAACATCCTTTACAGATTGGCAGCGTCAGAGGGAGCAGCAAGTACCAAGGGGAGGGGAGAGACAGATCGCATTCCCTTTTCCAGACACCATCAACGGGAAAACACAACCTTCGGAGAAGTCACAGGAGACAGGGAAGGGGAATTCCTGGTGGGCTCTGTGGAGAGACCCATAGGCAGGCTTTGCTGCCAAGCCTTTGGAAGGCAGCGCCCCCAGGAGGCCGGGCTGGGAACAGCATCTTGCCCCTGAGGATCCACCTAAAGCTCCACTAGACGTCTGCCCTCTTCCCCGGCCAGGCCCTGCAGGGAAGGGCACAGCTGGGCGTGCCAAACTGCAGAGGACCAGTCGACAGTGACAAACAGTCCCAAAGGCAGAAGAAAACCAAGGTTTTCCAATGGGCAGAGCAACCCGCCCACGCCACATAACACAGGGTAGACTGTCGGCAACGCTGAGATGATTGGCAGGGCCGGCAGTTCCACCCGTGTTTGTTACAAAAGGAAAGTGATGCCCAAAGACAGTGAGAAGATGGGCTTACTATTTCACACTCTGACTAAAAGCGTTGAGGTCAAAACTCCATTCATGTAGTCACAGGATGCATCCTTGGAAGCAGAAGGTTCTGTGTGCCAAACTCAAGGGCGAATGGTACGGAGCTGAGTCCCGCCTCCGGGGAAAGAAAACAGACAGGAAACACAGGCCCACATGGCGAGGTCCTGGGAAAGGGGCTGGGAGGGCTGCGCTTGGCCAGGGCATCCCCTAGACCGGCAGCAGCAGGGAAAGGAGGTGGGGAAGAAGCTCGGGGCTGGCGACAGCCTGCGAAAGCCATTGTGCTTTCTTCCCCAGGAACAGCGAAGCAGGAGGTATGAGGTGTCTCGGGCGGGCCCACGTGCTGTCTGTCACTCCCTTGGAGAGAGTGCCGTGGAGGGTGAATGCAGGGTCCCCTCGGAGGCGTGTGGGACAAGGGGAGACATGGAGGTGACTCGCACTCAGCCAGGGAACTGTGAAGTAGAAGGGCAGGACTGGTGATGGCGGAGGGGTGAGGGGAAGAGGGGTTCTCCCAGCTCAGGCCCTGTCTTCTGCTCTCCTCTCCGTCTCATTGTCCACCACCCCTTTGGTTTTGACCTAGCCCTGTTTTCCTCACCAAAAGAGTGTTCGTTCTCCCTGCCTCCGTGTCCTTGCCTCTTCTGCTCGGTCCCCATCAACCTCTGGCACAGTCCCCCTCCCCCACGGAGCCCCATCTTCCTGTTCTCCCCTGCACCACAACCCCCTTCATCCCAGTGACCTCCACCCTACCTCTGTCAGTGTCTCTGACACCTCCACCTCTTCCTCCCTCGGCCAACACAGTCCTCAGGATGTTGCACGGAGATCTGTGCGGCCCCTGGTCTCCTGCAATCAGCCGCAGCTCCCACGTTGGTGCTGAGAGACTACCTACTCCATGTCAGGACTACCCCCCGCAGGCCCACAAAAGCACAATTGGCCATTTCAGATAAGGTGGTGATGGTTGCACAATCCTGTAAATGTACTAACAACACTTGGATCCTACACTTGTAGCAGGTGAGTTTTATGGTATGTAAATTATACTTTAAGGAACCAGCAAGCTCAAGAAAGCCCTCAGCAGCTCTCCTCTCCTGCCCACCAGCCCTGGCCTCCAAATCTGTGGCCTTTGTCGCGAGGGTGCCACCACCTGCCTCTGCTGTGAGTCATGTTGAGTCTTCCCTCTGACTAACTTCCCAGGTTCAGAAAGTTTCCAGAGTTGGTCAGTTCTCACCCACCAGGTATTTCTCAAACCGCCTACTTCTGCCCCTGCCATCAACCCACAGATCCCTCCCGGGCTCGCAGTTAGTGGTTCCCAGCGTGGGCGCTGCCACCTGGAGAGCTTTCGGACCTTTGGGAGGATGCCTTGTAACATCACAGGATGCTGGGGCCTCCTGGCCCTCGTGGCAGGGGAAGGATGCATCACAGAGAAAAGCATGCCTGGCCCTACGGCAGCTCAGAATGTCCCATCTGCCTTCTGTCATGGAGCAGGAGGTCTACCTGCAATTGCTTATCCTGGGGCAACCTCATTCTTATATCAACCTGTTCCTCTGTTTTCCTGAGTCTGTTTTATAGAATGACTCCCAGAAGGTAAGAATGACTTACCTTCTTATATGCAGAATGACTCCTGTCTAGATGCCAGGAACTGGCATCACCTTTCTATGTTTTTCTGAGGCCCTTTTACCTGCAGACATGGGATCATCACTGTGTTGCTCAGGAGCTACCTGGAACCTGCCCCCTTCCTCCTGTGAGAGGGGCTTTTCCTGAGCTTGAGCCCCTCTGGGATGGGGTTTCTCTGTGACTTTCCTGGGCCAGGGTCTCCAGTTGCCAGACGGCTGGCATTCCCAGACAACTGCCTACGGCTGGCACCGCAATGCAGACTTCCTGGCACCAAGCAGCATGGGCATTCCCCCTGTGTCAGGCTGCTTTCTTACACAAGTCCTACAAAGGGAGAGGAACAAAGTGGGAAGCACCCCCTGTAACATCCTTTCTCTGGGAGATGCAGGAGAATCAGGGTCCTGCCTCTTCCTCTCTGGCCGACCTCCTCTCCAGCTTTATGGGAGGCTGTGCCTCTGGTAAGACCTGTTCTTTTCTGGGCCAGTGATAATGTAGCAATATACTCTGAGCTGTATGAACACACAGGGCTGTCCTGCCTTTATTCTTGGCTCTCAGCCAGGCATCTTTGGACCTCTTCCCTTCCACTGATTGGCAGCAAGCTCTCCCCTCTTCCACGCTTAGCAACATTTGATTTGTAGCTCTGCAAAGATTTCTATCACCACTTCCTGCCTCATGTTCGAGGGTCCCCTTCTCCCCTGACAGCACTTCCCACAGTCTATGGCAAGTGAGCGCAGGAGTGAGCCTTGGGTCCTATCAGTGTAGGAATATTTATTGTGTGCTTATGATCTCAGGATGCTGTTCGAGGCCCCACGGAGCAGTATCCTAGACAGTTCTTTACCATCTTAAATAGTATTTCTCTCTGTTAAAGAAGAACTATTCAGTAACCCTTGCAAAACCCCAGACTTTATTCTGGACCATTGCTGTGGGCATAGGGACCACTACAATGGGGCCTTCAGTGGGGAAAGAGTTGTGACAGCTCCAAGTACTACATGGGTAAGTACAAATTTACAACCAGAAATCATGTCAGGGTCAGTAGATAGAAAACTACCAAGAAGAAACACAAGGGAGAGGGGGATATTGGCTCAACCAACTTAACAGGATTATAGCTGGAGACAGGTCCGGGTGATCTGAAGGCAGGTGGAGGGGAAGGAAATTGATCAGAGGAACTGGCTCCGCTGTGTTCTTTGCCAAAACTGGATTTTATAAGTAAATGTATAGTGGGCCTAGAAGAAGGTTGAGGAATCAAACTAAGGCCTGGAAAAGGAAGAAGTCTTTGTTTACCTGTACATGATGAATATGCACTTGAGAAGTTCGGCATATTCGTTTATAGCTCTTGGAAGGAAAGATGTTAGGAAGGGAGAGCAGAGGGAGGGAAGAGACCCACACTTCTAATCAAACCAGGATAAACACTGCCCTGCTGAAATCCACTACTGGCCCCAGCTGGGGCCATTGTGACATGTGGATGGGGTTCAGGAAGTTGGGCACTGGCCAAGTTGTCCTCTCCAGGAACTGCCTTTTGTGGGCCCCACTTGAATGTCCCCTCCGTTCCTCCCACTGCTGTTGGATTGGAGAAAGTAGTTCACCTTGAGAGGAAGAGGTGGGATCCGTTCATCTCCTGGGGTCCTTAGTCCCTGCTTTCTTAGGTGGTGGGAGGAATTGCATCTGAATTGCACAACAGAAGAACCCTAAACTATCACTGCTCTGGGGACCCTCCAAACTCAACCACGGGGAGAAGAAAGAGGCTTGAGGGGACACACCTCAAGAAGACCAGATTCCCGGGATTTCTAAAGATCAAGAAATGCTCCTGTAGAATGAATGAATGAACGAAGTCAGTGCTGAGAACCTGATTGCAGTGGAGATGCGTGGGCAGGGCTTCTGGCTCACAGTAGCCCTTCCCTGTAGGGAAAGAGCATAGATGCAGCTATTCCTGGAGAAGATTCACCTGGACCCCTGTTCTCCATTCTTCTCCAGAAAGCATTGCCAAACCCAGCCAAAGCACCCTCAGCCACACTGTGGCTAAAGAAATTGGAGTCAATGAGGTCAGAAGGCACAGGGTGCCTCCAATCATTTGTCGGGAAAGAGGAAGTACAGATATGTTGTTAGAATGATGACCACGCACCTTGGAGATATAGTGGCATTAATATGTCTTCTTGCTCCTCAAAATAACTCTCCCACCTAACAACAACCAAGCAAGTTGTCTTTATTCTGAGGCATCCATTGGTCATCCAGGGCCCAAGCTTGATGGGGAGAAGTTTCATCCCTCCTCAGAAAGCGATGGCCAACTTTCCAGGTGTGCCCACCTGGACTCCCCACCAGCCGCTACACTGTGGCTTGGTTGTGCCAGGGGCAGTGTCTTAAAAATAAAGGCTTCTTCCTGCTGAAGATCAGAAACAGATTTAATGTGAGTTCTTCAGATGAGAAAAAGAGGAGATTTTCTAAGGAGTGGGTCCTGATTCTCCACCCAAATCCAAGTTAGACTGCGTGCTTCCATGAACTCAATTTGTCCTTCTCAACCTCTCAGCGTCCTCAAATCAGGTGCATCTCTGACCCTCCAGCTGGACATTTAGGACCAGAAAGGCAGAGCACCCACACAGGATGGGGCAGTGGGGTGCAGCACAGACCCAGACAGTCTCTCTTGTCCCGATCAGGTGTGCTGCTCTCTCGGCCCTATCCTGGGTGCCCCCACCCCATATCTGTCCATATCAGCTCGCAAGCCAAAGCTGTGTGTGTAAATCCATCCGCATGGGCCCACGTTGTTCACCCCCAGCTGTGCTGGGACCTTGGGCAGCATGAGGGAAGACGTGGGGACTTGAGAGCAGAGTGTGTCCCGCCGCAAGCCAGTGGTGCTCAGAGACAGGAGACAGAGCAGAGATTTGCCCAGTGCCTGAAAGGTTTTATCTGCCTTGGAAGCCCGCATTCATGAACAACTACTTTACTGGCCCACTTTTCTTGATCAAAGTTTATATGCCCCTCAACAAAGCCTTGGGTCAGGCTGGCAGTCTCTGGGGAGACCTGCAGGCTCCACCTGTGGCAGGTGTGCGGGGCCTGTGGTGTAGCGTCTTTGCCTCCCTGAGATGCTCGGGCCTGCCTCCCCTCTGCTGGCCTCTGGTTCTTGGGTACAGAAGGTTCCTCTGAGCTTTCCCAACCCAGCCTGCAGCCAGAGAAGTGTGGAAGGTGCAGAGTGGAGGCCGGAGCCAGTCTGAGAACTGAGGGATTGTGGAGGTGGTGCTCCCCAAGTCCCACCCATGAGGCTTCCCACATTCTGCTGTCCCCAAGTCCAGAAGCACCCTTTGCCTTGTTTCCTTGAATTGGCAAAGAGATACTACTAGGATTTTTCTGAGGAATAGTGGAATGTGCCAGATCTATAAGTACATAAAGCATATATATATACA